AGGACATCAGTAGAACTGACCCTGAGAAGAGCTCAGGTACGCCTCTCGTCGGCCTGTTACGTTACTGCAGCACATTGCACCCTCCAGAAGGGAAATATAGCCATAAGGAATCCTATTTGCCCTTTTCCTGTGTATGAGGTGCGATGCTCTGCAGCAATGTGTGTTGGAACCTCTTCCTGCATTGATGTTCTCAGTGTGTGTACACTGTCACTGTGCATGGCGGTCCAATGTGTCACCACACAATTGGCAGGATCACGGCTCCCCTTGGATTCACTCCTAGTGCTGGAATACGGGTATAGAAATGTGGACTGCAGACCCTGTGAGATCATCAGTGTGAAGATCCAATATAAATAGAGATCATACATGCGCAGATGTCATTACAAGTGGCGCAGCGTGCATACGGAAAGTGCCTCCACCAAGCCCTTAAAGGGCACCTGTCACTCCCATACTGTGCTGGACCAGCTGTCAGATGTGGATAGAGCAAACCTCTGCAACATGACAATCAGTGATCCCCACATCTGTCTCCGCCCCCTAAATTCCCAACTCTCTCTTCTTAGGTTCCCCTCCTAGGTTGTCCCAGAACCCCCCCCCCCCCCCCCCATGACCATGACCTGACACAGGAGCTTTCAGTCTATTAGAAATGTTTACAGTGAAAATGTCAAGATTCATATATGGCGGCTGGTTTACCTACCAAAGCATTTGTATTTCTGCTCATCCAGTCCTGAGATATACCCAGCCTGTGATTGGACAGTGAAGGAGAAGCAGCAGACTAATGAGCTCATCTTTCTGTCAGTCTGCCCTCTCCTCCTATCAGCATGCTCCTTGTTAGCACAACTGATTGGCTCATTGTGCTGCTTTTTCCTCCTTTAGGCTCTGTTCACACCTTGGGGGTCAGCGTGTTTGCGCATATTAGCGCACGTTTTGTCTAGCGTGTTTAGCACGTTTCTGCACATTTCGCATGCGGTGGACGCACTCACATGAATGTGCAATAAGCTTGCGCTGTGCGTTTCCATTGAAGTCTATGGGGCCACACACGCCGTAATCCGCCAACATAAAACCCATGTACTTATTCTAGCCTTCTGCGTTTTACAGCTTGCGACAAAACTCTCAGGTGTGAACAGGGGCCATTGAAATGAATGAGATTTCTTGTGCGGAGAGATGCGTGGGTGTGAACAGGGACTTAGTGTGAGCTCTGCTGTACAGGGACTGCAGGAGGCTGAGGACGGGGATGACGACGTGTCAATGATTACAGAATAGAAAACAAAATATCTGCCACATAATGATAACTTCAGAGAGACATCTGACGACTCTTCTTCCAGCGACATTGTTAGACAT